CTTTCCTTTTATATAGTTACTATCAACCAGACTTATAAAAATGTTGAAAAGGATACCATTGAAGCTCTTTATAAGTTTCCTATTTTTGAAGCCGCGGCCGTCTGCGGATTTGAAGCGGAAATTGATGGACAAAGAAAAGTAAAGGGTATCGTTAAAGAAGCAAAAGAGGCCGCTAAAGAATACACAGAAGCAATTCAGGTAATTTCAATCACCCATTTTCAATTGTTATTCTTGCGTGTATAAGATGAATGAAAATTTACATAATATTATTTTAATTGATTAGCAAGGACATGGTGCTTATTTGTTAGAATCCGAGTCAGAAGACATATTTCAATGTTCTGTTGGAAATGTTGCATCCGGGCAAACCGTAGTCTTAAAGATAACATACGTTACCGAACTTAAACATGATTCTGAAACCGAAAAAATTCGATTTGTTCTTCCAACTCACATCGCACCAAGATATGGTTCATCATCGTCGTCAGCATCACATGATGGGAAAATACTTGAGGCTGATGCTGTATCTTATTGTAATAAAGTTGATTATTATCTAGATCTTACAGTTACTTGCAGAATGACTTCAATTATTCAAAATATTGAATCACCTTCACATAAGATTTCGACTGAAATGAATATCGATGAAAACCCTAAAATCTCTAAAATTACATTGGCCGAACAGATTACTTATTTAGAAAAAGATTTCATACTTGTGGTTAAGAGCAAAGATCTTGATCAACCTCGGTAATATTTATGCAATAATGTTGGATCTTATTTTTTTATAGAAAAAATTTTTTTTTCTTTTAGAGCTTTCGTTGAATATAATCCCGAAACAGAAACCAAATGTGTTATGTTAACATTGATCCCGAAATTCGCGTTAAATACAACCATGACCGAGTTAGTTTTCGTCGTTGATAGGTACCGTTAAACAGATGACTTATTTTTTTTTTAAAAAAAAAAATATAGATAATAATGATATAATGATAATAATAATGTTTTTCTGACAATTTTTTTGATAAAGGTCAGGATCTATGAGCGACGAACCTATGAAAAAGGCTGCGCAGGCACTTGAATTGTTATTACGTTCGCTGCCTGAAGATTGTTACTTTAATGTGGTATCTTTTGGATCTCATCACGATTCTCTTTTTCCAAAAAGTCAACTTTATTCCGAAACATCATTATCTCAGGCTATTAAACTTGCTCAATCTATGACCTCAGATTATGGTGGAACGGAAATTCATGGAGTATTAAAATGGGTTTTCGAGAATTCAAGAGATGATATGCCAACTTCTGTATTTCTCATTACAGACGGGGAAGTCTATAATGTCGAACAAATTGTAGAACTTGTACGTGAAAAGGAAGAAAAAAAGAAGGATGATTTGCGTCTTTTTTCATTAGGAATTGGTGATTCTGTTTCTCATAATTTAGTCGAATCTGTTGCTCGTGCTGGTAGGGGATATGCCCAATTTGTAACAACCAATGAAAGGATGGATAAAAAAGTTATTGGAATGTTGAGGAATGCATTAAAACCACCGATCAAAGATTATAAAATTACTTGGACTGACGTTGATTTCTCGGAATCAACCGAGAAGGAAGTTATTTCGATGGCGGAAGATAAGCCTGTTGTTAGCTTATATAGCGACAAGACGGAACCTCCGCCATCACCTCCAAGTAATATCTTTACAGATATAAAGATTCGACAAGCTCCATATTTAATTCCACCTATTTATCCTGGCGCTCGCTTCGTTGTATATTGCATTTTGGAAAAAAATATTGAACCGCGTCAAGTTATCATTTTAAATGCCACTTCTCAAGATGGTCCTATGAAGCTTGATATCTCTTTGGATCCCGTTACTTTGCAAGGTCTTAGGATCCATAGATTAGCAGCAAGAAAACTTATTCAAGATCTTGATGATGAAAAATCATTTCTTCATAAACATCCTAAAAATTCTGGTAAACATATTCCGGCTTCATTGGTTAAAGAACATATTGTTAACCTTGGTAAAACTTTTAATCTTGCTTCAAAACATACAAGGTATATATATAATATATATTATTATATGTATATACAGTACATTTCTTTATATAGTTATTATTTACTTTATTTTGTAGTTTTATTGCGATTGACGAAAGAAATAATGAAGTTGTATCTGAAGCTCAGACAATCTCGCAGAAAAGACAAGTTCCTCATCAATATAGTATTCTTCAATCTTCGGTGTTAAAGTCATTGCAAAGTATTTCGCCGCCACGTTAGTAAAAAACAAAATGGCATATTTTAATATGAAATAATTTATCTAATATTTTTTGTTATATCATTTGCAGTTTCAAAGCTGTCATGTATGCAAGAGGAGACAACGACAATTTCAATGAGGTCAGAAATAAATTTTTCATGTGTTATATATGCGATTGAATATTTTGTTCATTATTATTATTTCAATTAGTGCGTTCGACAATCGAAAAATTGTAGTCGAACATAGAGAACCACATACTGAAAATCTATATGAATTTTTAAGTCTACAATCATTTGATGGTAAATTCTTGCCAAACGCATCATTTTATAATTTTTTTTATAAAAATAATGTAAATGATTTTCTTGATTTAATACGAGAAATCAAAAGAGAAGGTGATATTGAAGAATTTAAAGAAAAATTAACTACTTGTATTGCTATAGCTTATCTTGAAGTTGTTTTATTTGAAAAATTTAAGGATGAATGTGAAATGTGTCATGAAAAGGCTGTAAATGCTTTAAAGAAAATGGTTGGAGATGAAGAGAAAGAAAAAATTATTATTGATAAAGCTAAAGAATGGATTAAAAATTGGGTGGGTGAAAAGAAAGATATGTTTGATAAAGCTAGTAAATGGGTTAAAAGTTTGGTGGGTATATAACGTAATGAAGTTAAATGTGCTTTTTTTGACAGTATATTAGTTCGATGTACATTTATTTTATTGTAAATCTTAAAAAAAATTTTAAGCAATGTTCCATAAAATTATAAAAAAATTTATTGATTATGTTAAAAAAAGCTATACCAATATTCGTTAATTTCCAAATAAAAATTTAAAATAAAAATCTGTGTAAAGTAAATTTCTAAAAAATTGTAGTATTTATTTAAAATCCCATTTTTTTTCAAAAGAGAAATCTTAACCTAGACCGGGTGTTCAGATCATTATCCTAGACCTCCCAAATTTGATTTTCTTTTTTTTCAAACTACAGTTCAAGGTTGTTTATTGAGAATTTTTGTCACCAACGTTTAATATCTATTGTTGAAATGAATTTTGCTAAAGGCTATTATACAATTTTTTATTAACCTGGTAAATTTAGTGTAGTGTTTATGAAGTATCAAAAAAAAATCAATAAATTTTTTTCTTTCTTCGCTTATAACTGCGCATCTGTAGTGAAATTTCTTGAAATTCCGCAGTAAGATGTAAATTATGTAAGTTAAAGAATGAAGTCACGAGATAGTGAGCATTGGTGCGACCTCCTATTTAATATTACCAAATTTTGAAAATCATTGTAAAATGAAATTTCCTCAATTATAAATAAATAACTAATGTCTTCTTCAATTTTAAATTTGTAAAAAAAAAAAGGAAATGGAGAATTTCTTAAAATTTACTCGCAAGTCGTTTCTATCTCATTACACTTTTGTTGAGAAATTATTTATTGTTTCTTATATTCTTGAATGTACCATAATTGTCATTTCAAGCATCTATGTAGCAATTAGTTTAAAATCGTTACGAATATTGGTTTTAATGTTTCCTGAAATTTATTGTAAAATATCCGGATTTGTAGCAGTATGTTATAAATAATTTTCATTTTTTCTTCTGTTTACCATATTTACCTAAATAAAATTTAAACGATTTTATAGTTACAACAACGATCAATATTACATGGCATCATAAATTTCTTTCATAGGATTTTTATAATTGCTACATTGTTATTAATCTCTTTAAGAGTTCTTCTGGGGTGTATTAATGTCGTTTGTCTTGATTTCGCAGCACAGGATGACAGATTGAAAGAGATAAAGGAGTATTTTTTTAATTATCTTGCTGCTTGGGTTACTTTATATTCGTCATTTACTATTTATTACTTGATCTTAGTCATTAATATGTGGAAAAGAAAGTATGTTTAAAAATCATTCAAATAAATAATTTTTTTTTTTTTGTAATATAAATTTAAATCTTAACTTGTTGGAATTTCTTTTCGGTTAAGGATTTGGCCAGTAATAAAAGATTTGAAAATCACAAAAAAAGAACAAATTAAAAGTAAGCATTCTAAACGGTTCATTGTTGCATTAATTATATTTAACTGTATCGTTTTATACTATTTTAATAGATATGTATAAAACCTATCAAATAAATCTAATACTGATACATGCACAAGCAGTACATTTTGGAAATTTAGCATATTTAATATGGTTCAAAAAACTTACAAGAATTTATGGGTACTACTTCAAATTAGGAAAAGATCATAAAATATCTTTTTATGAATTATTTCCATGGTTTTTAATTCTTCAACTATATGTTGCATTCATTCCAAAGGCGGTAATGTGATTTGTTTCACCTTAAATAAGTTTTTTGTACATTTCATTAATTTAATTTGTGATTTTTTTTTCTTTTATCTAGATTAGAGACGAATCACATAAATTAATGATCATTATATATATCGGCAATGCTTATGTACTTTATTATATCATCGAAAATCTCTATAACTACTGTTCAAATTTCTTATTTAAATACTTTATTCAACATGATCCATGGTTTCAAATAGTATTTGTTTTAAGTAAGATTAATTCGTTTATTATTACGTTTGAATAAAAGTGTCGTAATGTATAACTTACTCAATGTATTTTTTATATAGGTTTAATCGCTATAATTATTATTCTCCTTCAAACGATCAATTCAATAATTTGTCATAGAAATTTTGGAAATAATTTGGGATTTTATTGTGAGCATCTAATGATTCTTGTATTGATTAAATTATACATATTTATTTTTGATTTTGATTTTTTATTTCTTAGTGAAATACCAAGAGTTCACTTCAGAATTTGAATCTTGCGATGGTCTCCCGATTCAAAAGATATCGAATGAGGGTAATTAAAAACGTTGCTTATTATACGATAATTAGAGCAAAGGTGTGGTTGTATTGTAAATGGTTCTGTTATACTGGTGAGAAATTATACTTTGCATGTAAAAAATTAAAAAAAAAAAAGATAATTCGAACGCGTTATTAGATTCCATGAAATAAAAATTTATTGTATAATTGTAAGTTTCAGGTGTATCTCAGGAACGAATATCTAATGCTAAATCAATATTCTCAGTTAGCTTACTGTATATTGTTGCAATGTACTTTCATTTCATTTTCGTTTACCAAATCTTTTTAATCAATGTAAAGAATTACACCTAAAACTTTGACTGTAGCTTAGTTGGTTTTCAAAATTTATTGATGATTCCAAAATGCGAATTAATATATTGTCGGAATGCTATATAAATTAAGTATTAATTATTAACTGCAAGGTTATTCTTTCTTGAACGACTTCCGATGAGATTATTTCATTGATCATAGCAGTAGCGTTAATTCTTCAACTTTAAGTCACGCCAATAATTCAATATCAAAGACTGAAGAAAATTCCAATGTTTTGTCTACAAGAAGTTCTATGCAGGTTTAATATTCACCTTAAGAAAAATTGCGAACAGATTTTACCGTTGGTAAAGAAGTCAATTTTGCCGGTTCTGGAAGCATGGAAGAGAAACTTAATAAGGCGAGCAATAACCCTGACCTTGTTTCACGATTGATAAGAA